TGAAAACTGAATTTCAGACTTGGCCTAGTTTGGTTGACCAAGGAGCAGGCATGCCCCATTCACTGGTTCCTACTATACTTAAGCTAAGTGTTAGTCTACTACATTCAAGTGTGACTTAGTTTCTCTCATCTGTGCATCAGCAACTTGAGACTTTATGTGTCTCAACTTAACTTTTAAATCGGTGTCAATGCTGACAGTACTATAGGGATGCTACGCAAATATTTGTAATAATACAGGGCCTTGTTTTCCAGTCTCCCTAGTTTGGAGGTGGTATTAAATTACTGAGGTTTACTAAGTCTACTAGGTAGCAAAGAGAAAAGGGGAGTAAAAGTAAAAAAAAAAAAGTTATCATCAGTGAAATTTTTGCCTCCTTAAAATAAGAACATGAAGCTGGCATATGAGGAGGATAAGCTAATAATAAACACGTGTATCTATGCTGCAGGAAAGGAATTAGCTGTCAACAGAATAGTTGATAGATGGGTCAGGCCTTTACATATCAAGTTAACTTTTTATTTTCTTATATTTGGATTAGCCATGGTGCAGCTGACAATTGTTTTGCTGAGGTACTAGTTGAGACTAAGCAAATATTTTATGCAAAGGGTGATTCTGGTTACCATTATATGGGTCCAACAACTTGCTGTGATCATGATTGTGGTGGTGGTGGTTGCTGGTTGGGGATCCTGTTTTCCCGTTTTTCAAGACAAGTCTTCTTTACTTATCATAATATTTTAAAAGTTGTACTAGCTACCTGTCTGGTTTCCAAGCTTCTTTAATTTTTCTTTTAATCTGTTACGTGGTTCTTACACGTGTTTCAGGCGGAGCTAATCTTTTTAATCCCTGATGTGAACAGCACTCACTGTATCCCTTGAACTGGATTGTTCTCCCCAAATTCACCTTTCCAATCCTAAATCAGATGGTTTATAAATAATATTTTTGGAAGTGCTCAAATATAATTATATAAAATTGGCAATTAAAACCATAGATGAGAGACATATGAGATAATAAATTCTTCAATGCCATAATAAGCAGATTTATAGAGCACTGCTTTGTAAGGTACAGTGTTAGAATCTTCAAAATAATTCAGTCTAGAAGGAACTGGTGGATAAATTCTATATATTTATAAAAATAATTAATCACATAAGGGAATAAAATGATTAAGAGATAAGTTGCTTCCTTTTTAAATTTCTAGGTAAGCGAGCAAATTTTAGTTTTATTATGGATAATTTTTACTATTTCATTAGTACCCTGCCAGAAAGATGACTGCTTGTATGTGAATGCTGTGTAATGTACTATGAGTTCTAATTCAGCAAAAGTCCTACCCTTAAGAATTTTCCATTGTGTAATTATTTTTTCAGTATGTCTTTCTCTTTCTTATTTTAATGAAATTGACAATAATAAAGTCAGCTTTTATTCCCCTTTTAAAACATTTTGTCTGTTCTGCATTTCCGTAGTTAACTGATTATTTACAAAATGGGTTTATTTTGCCATAGGAGCTTAAACCAGTTAACTTTGGAGAGATCTTAATTTATAACCAGCCAAAAAATCATTTTGGTATATTTTGAACTTTCAGTTCCCCTCTTTTTCTCACTAAACTAAGAGATAGATATTGAATCCATCTGCTAAAAATATTCCTAATGTTTAAAACATTTTTTTGCATAACAAAGTACTTTTACCTGTTAAGGAAAATCAGAAAATGAAAGAGCTATGAAGAAAACCAACCACCCAAGATCGGCACTCGCTGTATTTATTCCTATTTTATTTCTTTTTAAAATCAATATATGTACATAATATATAATATTACTTTCATTTGGGGGAATTGATACGTATATGTAGCATATCTTGATCATTTTATTCTCTTTGCTGCTACCCTTTCCACTCCCTGCCTCCAGCTATTTGCAAAGAATGTATGTTACAAAAAGAATTGGAATAATTCGCATACTATTGTATCCTGTCCTCAGTTTTCACTTAATATTATATCTAACCTTTCCCTGTATATTAAAATGTCTTTGAAGAGTAGCTATAGAGTATTCCTTCAGATGGATATACTTCAATTTATTTGAACATTTTTCATTTGTTGTTTTCCATAGGTTATTTTACTTTTGTGGATGTTCTAAATCTGCATTTGATGTCTATGTATATAGTTTGAGACTGATTATTTTTAGACTAAATTTATACAAGTAAAATGAATGGGTCACAGGAGGTAATCTGTTACGAAAGCTCCCAGATCAATAAGAGAAATTGCTGTCAACAGTGTGGATCAATTTATTTCTAGCAGTATACAAGAATGCCCATCTCACCATATCTTTGACAGTAATTTTGACAGCACCTCTCTTTTCAGTTTCACTTGCTTATTCAATAACAATAATTCAACAGTTTTTCAAAATGTACAAATCAAAACCTATTTTACATATATTTTCAAGATAAAGTACTTGTAGACTGCTTAATAAAATGAGATAAAGTTTAAGTTTAAAAAATTAGATTGCAAAATAGTATGCAGAATTATGTAGAAAAATACTGTCATGTAAGCCTTGTAATACAATCAGATGTCTCCACTTATATGGAATATGAGTGATTTTTAAATTTTTATCCTCATTTTTGTTCCAAAATTTTTGTTTTCTCATCAGAAATGTAATTTACTGAAATAATAGAACTTTGTAATTAAGCTACAGTACAAATGTTCTACCTCCTTAACTTTGTAAGTCATGGTATTTATTTATTTAAGAAAGTGGGAGCCGGGCGTGGTGACGCATGCCTGTAATCCCAGCACTTGGGAGGCTGAGGCAGGAGAATTGCTGTGAGTTCAAGACCAGCCTGGGCTACATAGTGAGTTCCAGGGCAGTCTCAACTATATAGTGAGACCCTGTCTCAAAAACAAACAACAACAAAAAAAAAAGAACAAGAAAGTGGGGTATTTATCAGGTGTTAATAATGGGTACTGGGCTGGGCATACAGCTCAGTAATGGAGTGTTTGCCTAATATCAGGAGACCATGAGTTCTGTCCCCAGCACGACACACACACACACACACACACACA